GCCAAACCGTGCGCTTGCCCGCTCAAGACCTTCCGCTCAGCACTGCGCACACGCCTGGCGCACGACCAGCGCGCCAGCTCCAGAGCACCAGGCCAGCACTGCATTACTCGCCACGCGACAGAACGAATTCGTGGATCACAATGCGTTGGTGTGTTGCATTGACGCACACGCATGCCCGCTCGTGCGCAACCGCCGGAGCGGAGCCCGAGCTAAGCCGAAGCTGAGTTGGAGCGGAGCCGGAGCTGAGGCGAGCGGAGCCGGAGCGGGGCCGAAGCTGGGCCGGAGCGGAGCCGGAGCGGAGCCGGAGCGGAGCCCCGCAGGCGGAGCGAAGGCGGAGCGCAGGAGGAGCGGAGGCGGAGCGCAGGCTCCGCGAAGGCGGCGCAGAGGCGGAGCGGAGGCGCAGCGAAGGCGGAGCGCAGGCGGAGCAGCGCAGGCGGAGCGGAATATATGCGCACACATCTGTCGGTCTTCCTTATCTATCTTTCTCCAAATAACCGTCTATGTCTCTCTAGGTCAATTTATGTAACGGCTATCAACACTTAACTCTATCCCTCTATCCCCTTTGTGTCTATCCATCTGTCTACCTACTTCTCTATATTGCTGTATAGAGCCGCAGGCGGAGCCAAGGCGGAGCGGAGAAGCAGCGCAGGCGGAGCGGAGGGGAGGCGCAGCGGAGCAGCGCAGGCGAAGCGGAATATATGCGCATACATTTGTCGGTCTTCATATATCTGTCTTTATCCAAAAACCGTGTATATCTGTCTTTGTCAATTCTTTTATCAGTACTTAACTCTATCCATCTATCTCCCTATCCGTCTGTCCATCTGTCGGCCTACTGGTCTATATTTCCCTATGTCCATCTATACCTCGCTGTGCCAGTAGAGCCGGCAAAACCGGTGAGCGGAAGTGGGGCGAGTTGGGCGCGTCGATTATCGTGCCCCGTGTCAGGTCACAATGCCGGCGCAGAGCAGTCGAGCGGAGGCGCGGCGGAGGCGGCGCGCAGGCGGAGCGGAAGCGGAGCGGAGGCGGGGTGGCGGCGCAGCGACGGCGAGCGGAGACAAGCGCAAAACTATTATAAGGAGACCACTAGAGAGTTAAATGAAATAATAGTGTTTAACAGCATCTCACGGTCGAGTCTTTTCACATATGACAACTGTTCCAACATCGGTAAAGCACCTAACACATAAACTCTTTTAACTTCCATTCAATAGTTTCATAATGCATATATTCCATAGAGGAGATCGACTCTATATATATATATATATATATGCTACCCCCCCCCTTGAAATACTCAGGTTTTTGGACAGAACTGAGCTGTTTGGCCAGACTGGGGGTAACAAATAAATGCCTCGAGACTCTGAAATGAACTGGACACTCAACTCCATGCAAAATCTAACCAAGCAGAAGTTAAGCTCAACGTTGATTAGGAGTTGCGAGTTGTGTGACCCTCACATTGGCGTGCGCTAAGTGCACTTAAAGCCACATTGGAGTATGCAAAGTGCAATTTGGCAGCTCCAGCTCAAAAAAACACAGCTGTTCAGTACAGGAGTAGTGCGCAAAGTATGTTTTGGCAGCTTCAACGCGCCTGTAGCAGCCCTATTATTTGGTGTATATTATTTTTGTTTGGCAGCGAGATTCAGCAAAACATCAACTCGGGAAAAAGGAACTCACTCCTAATTCATGTCCTTGCGCAGTTGCATCTACATGTTAACTCGAGTGTTGTGCATAATTCCTGACATGCTAGTTCAGTCTAATTGAAACATATGTTGCCAAGCAACTATCCCACGTGTGTGTGTGTGTGTGTTGCTTGTCTAAGTTGGTTCCATCATCGCCACTAACAACTATTGAAGTTCAAGTAAGGGAAGAATATCCAGTCAAAAAAAAGCTTTCGAGTTCAAACCAAATTCAAGTTTACTCGTTTGCAGTTTCTTGTGCATTTCAAAAACCAACTGGAGAAGATAGCTATTGTCATGGCCAAATGAATTTGCAATCAAACTCAATTTTGAAAGGGTCATTGTCCTTCGAACTCCATGTGGTTTGAACCAAGCAAGAACTGAGCCAAGCCAATGACAGCAACGTGTTTTCAGTCATAAATCCAATTCTTTGCATAAATGCTGTAAAACACAGTGTTTTCAGCATTTGCTCAGATCGTGTTGCCCTGGATCGAACATCGAATAAACAAGATTCCACAAACATATGTTTAGAATGTACTCAATCCTGGTCCCCCCAAAACTTGACAATTTGTTCTAGACTCATCAAGGCTTCTCCCCCTGCATTGAAGATTGAAGATCTACCAGATTTTCTATTTGAGAATCTTCCATCCTGGCCAGCCCTCAAGTCCAAAAACAAAGGTAACGGTGTCAGCAACATTTTTCCCCCTGGCCAGTGCACATCCACATTTTGATTCTGACAACATGCACTCCCGGTCTGCCTTTTGGATTCTTCAAATCCGCATTTAAGGCAATCCAAAATCTGGATGAGAGATTCAAAATTATCTGACAACTCTTTCTGAAATTCTCCAAATATGTACTTAAAGTAATCCAGGATGTGCTGGCACGTGCTGGCACATCCTGGATTGAAGATTGAAGATTGAAGATTCTCAGACCACTTGTTCTGGAAATCTTCAATCCATCCTCATATGTGCTAGCACATCCTGGATTGAAGATTGAAGATTGAAGATTGAAGAATCCCAGAGAGAGTTGTCAGAGAATCTTTAATCTTCAATCTTCAATCCAGGATGTGCTAGCACGTGCTAGCACATGCCAGTTAGTCCTAAGGACGGATTGAAGATTTCCAGAACAAGTGGCCTAAGAATCTTCAATCTTCAATCCAGGACGTGCTAGCACGTGCTAGCACATCCTGGATTGGACTAAGTACCGATGCTAGAATTTAAGTCTAAAAAGGAGTGCATTTTTTAGAGCCTGATTTTAGAATGTGTTTTGCATGCATTTTTACAGCCATAATGTCAATTTCTGGCTAAAAACCTGAGTATTCCAGGGGGGGTACTATATATATATATGTCTGCGTGTACATTTGTACAAAACCTTTGTGCAACATTAGAGTCTCATTTCCAAGTGTAATTTCCTAAACTCTACATAAATATACGTTCTTAAAATTATCTCAAAAACTCGAACAGCACAAGACTCAAGGACAGAGGCAGCACACCTGCGGCCTGTCCAAAACCCTTCGTTTCCAAGATCGGCCGCAGCACTACGCGCACACCAGCCAAACCGCGCTCTTGCCCGCTCAAGACCTTCCGCTCAGCACTGCGCACACGCCTGGCGCACGACCAGCGCGCATGCTCCAGAGCACCAGGTCAGCGCCGGGCGACAGAACGAGTTCGTGGATCACAATGCGTTGGTGTGTTGCATTGACGCACAGGCATGCCTGCTCGCGCGCAACCGCTCAGCACCGCGCGCAAGCCTGCCAGAGGAGAAACAGCACGCTCCAAAGCCGTCTGTTCAGCAGCGCGCCGCGCGCCTAACGACCTGCTGTGATGACATGCCTGCGTTTGCAGTACTGGTTGCAGCAGCATAGTAGCCCTTTAGCAATTCTTGGTTTTAAGCTGGCTCATGTTGGCACTTTGGCCACAGCAGAATCTCAGGTCGCGTTCCCCCGGTACGTCCGTGTTCGTTTGCGTTTCCGGCCACGTTGGCGAACTATGCGAATTCCTTGCAAGTTGACGGTGCCGTCCAGCGCTTTCACGAAAATGACGTGCTCGCAGTCCGCGTGTAGGAGGAAGGGCAAGCATGTGCACAGGATGGAGCGCACTGGCAAATTTAGTCGACGTTTGCACCGGGGCCAAGTTGAATCTGGCAAGTGCCCAGCCATGACCACGGCGTGGTCTGCGAAGCAATGCTTAGGCGTCGTGTGTCCAGGTCGCGCTTGCCCTCGCGCTCGTGCACGATGCCAGCTTGCGCTAGCGGTGTGATGCATTCCACGATTTCATTGGCTGTTTTTGTTGATCTCAGCCTCTGCTGGCATACATTCCTTTCTCTTGGTCTTCTGGGCACGCATGATCCAGAACTGGGTGGTTTGGTTTGCTTCTGGCTCCGGCTCTCCTGTACGTTGTGCATCGTGACGTAATTTTGGGCGCCGGAATCCCACCGCTCCCTCCCACACCAGAAATCAACAGCTGGCGAGCGGCCCTCTGTCCGAAGCGTCTGTCCATTCAACAGCACTTCGGCAGGTGACTCAGGCCACGTCACAAAGTGCTTCGGCTCCCCCCACGCGTATACAGGTCTTGCATGGCTTCGAAGATCTTCTTTGGGGTTGCTCTAGCCGTCGCTGCAGGGAAGAGGACGGAAGAGGACGGGAGGCTACGGGAAGAGGACGGAAGACTACGGGAAGAAGAAGAAAGACCACGGGAAGAGGACGGAAGACTATGGGAGGAGAACGGAAGACTACTGGAAGAGGACGGAAGACTACGGGAGGTGGACGGAAGACTACGGGAAGGATGGAAGACTACGGGAAGAGGACGGAAAACTGCGGGAAGAGGACGAAAAACTACGGGAAGATTACGGGGGACTCACGTGTTGCTTAACCCCCAAGGTTAAATTGCAGTGTGGCAAGGCTAAAAACAAGTCACACAAGGTTGAAATAGAGTTGCGCAAGCTCAGAAAGAAGTGCAGGCCAAGGTTGGTTAGCTGGAAGTATCCCCAAGATCCAAGGTTCAAACAGCGACGTGCAAGGTTAAACAAAGCTCCAAGCCTAAAAAAAATCGTACAAGGTTTAAAAAACAAGGTGCCCAAAGTGGGTTCCCATGGCCAAGGGCTGCAGGCACCGCCCAAAAAAAAACCGAGCCTCTGATGGCTCCGTTTGGTCTCGAACTAGCTGTCTTTGGAATGTTGTTTTGGAAGTGCCCGACGTTGTCATTTTGGTTCAAAGTACATCTGTAACTCAGATCAATACCTGTATATACATATGACTGTGCGTTTGCCTTTCCTTGCTCTTTCCCCATAAATACACAACCTCCGCCGCGCTTGACCATGTCGCCAAGGATCTTGTACCTCCCCGCAAGTGGCTCCTCATCGAAGACGATGTTCTCCACCGGCCGGTCAGCGCATTTGCCACTATGCCGGCCTCTCGCCGGGCGCGGCCCGTGTCTCAGAAAATGTGCATGGGCAATTTCAATACTGAGACAACCCAGATAACCCACCTACCAACAGGTGCAAGATTCTGTGCGTCCACAGTAGGATATGAATGCTCGACAATCTCATCACCAGATGCCGGCAAAGTCAACACTGATGGGCCCTTGCGACTAGTTGCTTTTATGGAGCCCGAATTGCTCCCCCCACCCGTCAAACTGCTCGGTTTGTTGTTGGCATTGCTTCGAACACCAAAAATGAGATCCACTCTCTCACTTTTTGCGACCTCTCACAGCAAACAGAAAGCTAAAAGGTTGTTGATGGACACCTGCAGCAAACAAGCCTGCTCAGCAAGAAATGAGGGAGTGACTCCATGAAGCATCCCTAGAGTTGCCCAGTAAATCCCTAGGCTCCTGGCTTCATGTCCAAAACTCAAGGTGAATCGTAGGAACAAACAAGCAAGTTGACGAGTTGCCAAGTGGCGCTCCACATCGCTTGGAAACAGTGAATATCACGCCGTACACCGTCAAAGTTGCCCCTAAACGGTGCTGTAGGTTAAAGGGAAACATGCCTACTGTCTGAATTCAGACAACATCCCGACCTACAACCAAGGAGCAAACATGCCCTAATTATTCGGTCAAAGGGTGACTTGCGTCCTTTCTATCACAAGGGAGAAAGTGAATTTGTGCCACACATGAATCTTGAAAGGGAGCCCGTCAGAAGTGGTTGGTAGACAACAACCAAAAGAGAAGGCGCCGTAGTTTACTTTCAAAGGAACCACCCTCCACGAAACAAGAGAACAAGGGCACCACCAGAGGTCTATTTCATGTCTACCGGAGGTGGTCGGTTCTTGCTTTTCTTCAAGTCCACCACAAGGGTCCAGCAAATTGTAGCACATATTAATAATGTGAGTATTTCTAAAAACTTGGCACCCTGTCCAAGTGCCTGGTTGCCAAACCAGGGCGCCCTTCTTGGAGACAGGCCCTTCTTTTTATTTCGCCTTGGCTTTCGCGGAAACAGCACATTTTGGCGGCTGAACTTCCTGCCTGCCTTGGACGCACATGTCCACATCCAGCTCCCCAGCTCCGAGTTTCTTGTTTCGGTAGTTGATCCTCGGATAAGGCTTGAGTCCCCACTAAGTCCGGAAACCGCCAATGTTTGTTCATGGTGTGTTGCGCATTTCAAGAGAAGGATTCTTGAACAGAATGGGTCGGGTACGGCTAGAGTGCGGAGTGCTATCTCGAACGACCTAACCAAAAAGAAACATGAGCCATGGTCAAAATATGCGACAGCCTTCTAAGAAGAATGGGAAATTTAGAGAGTCACCCGGCTTCTAGCGTGGAACATTTGAGTCTCCCATGTCCCTCCCAAATGAAGCATCGGCTGCTGCATAATTTGATCGAACCGTAGGTGAGAAGTGCGATCCTCAAGTGAGCTCAGTGAAAAGAAGCACAGGTGGGGCAAAAGTCCGAATCTGGTCATGGTCATGGCTCCCCGCATATGAATTCTTGCACTGGTTCTTGACCAGGTAGTTTCAAATTTTGAGTAGGTCTTTCTGCTATGGGAAACTTGACGCAAATCTGGGGCACACTTTCTAATTCTGTTGCTTATGTGGCCGGCCCCAAAATATAGCATATGCCCAATGGCGCGGACGGAAGCGAAGCCTTGTCGGGGCCTCAGCATTTTTCAAGGGAAACCCACCAAACCAAAAGGGACACAAGTCTCAACTGAACAACTGGGATCCCACAAATTCCACCAAGTGCAATCAGGTGAACGACAGCGTGCGTTGAAATGCTGGACTGCCTCGGGTCTAGCTTTTTGTACATACCACTTTGGAAGAGCCCTTAGGCCAGTGACCCCTTTTGCTCGTTGTTGCTGGTGCTGCTGTCCCCAGGGATATGCCCAAACGTGGCAAAGTGGGTTGACAATCAGGGAACCCAGGAAGACGGGTATGATCACGCCACCAGTACAATATGCTGCTGCCAGGGCGCCTCCTCATAACCATCACATATGGACCAGAAACAAAAGCATGTTTTTACCAAAAGGGACATGTACAATTTGCGATCCCCAAGCGAGTCTCCCCCCCACAAAGCATAGACTACTATACAATGGAATGTTTGACAGAACCTCTTATGTTCTCAATGTTCCTTCTGATCGGCTCTGCTCCAAACTGCCAGCTCAGCATTCCCAAAACCAAGTCCGTTGGTAAACTGACCTGGTATCGGCTTCAGGTTGCAGCCGGTGGTTTGCCCGGGCGGAACCCATTTGGGGGTGTCCTGAGATTAAGGGGCCCGCTTTTGCATTGTATTCCCGCCGGAATGACAACTTGTTGTTTGTTGGTTGATTTGAACGGGAACCCCATTTCAACAGGAAACGAGGCAGAACCGGAACATACTGCTGAAGTCCAAAAAACGAGCAACACAAACGTGGACCCTGCTGGGCTGGGGCACTCCCCTGCAAATTACAGTAACATGAAACCCAAAAATGGGTCCCTGGCAGATTTGTGGGTTCCGTGTAAATTTGTGGGGAGTATTTCACCTCTGTCTGAATTCTGCCAATCTGCTCAGGTGAATCTCAATCGGGGATTTTGGTGGACATCAAACATTTAAGGGGATTTCTGTGCCACCAGCCAATGCCTTTTCCCTGGACAGGAATCCTTATCACGGTTGTCTAAGTTCCCCATAGAGGGCAAAAGAAATTCCACCAACCTGGTAGCCAGCGGTTGCACACACACACACACACACACACACACACACACACACACACACACACACACACACACACACACACACACACACACACACACACACACACACACACACACACACACACACACACACACACACACACACACACACGCACACACACACACACACCCACCCACCCACCCACCCACCCACCCACCCACCCACCCACCCACCCACGCACGCACGCACGCACGCACGCACGCACGCACGCACGCACGCACGCACGCACGCTCGCACGCACGCACGCACGCACGCACGCACGCACGCACGCACGCACGCACGCACGCACGCACGCACGCACGCACGCACGCACGCACGCACGCACCCACCCACACACACACACACACACACATGATTCGCTAACAATACCCGTCAACCTACACAAACGACATGGGGCTCGTGCAAAACCCATGCTCTGATCAATTTTGAACGTTCACCGAGCTGGCTGATCGCCGTGCAAACAGGACCTTCATGAGCTTTGCTTGTTTTACCCTGTCGGTGTCAATGCAAAGGCCAGCCAGGGCTCTCCTGGCCACTGGGCAAAACCATGTGCAAGTCCAGGTCGTCCGCGGAGGTCCAAGACCTTCGCTCGATCTGACCGTCGAAAACAACTGATGTGCTCCAAGAGGTCAAAAGTTAGTTTTGTGTCCGAAACGTTGCATCCATCAGGACTTGAACAGAATGATACATTCGCAAGTGTTCAACCGATAACATATTACACGTTGTGTCCAACAGGTGTAACATTCAACTCAAGTTAAAGTTTGCATCACATCCCACCCATTGCGGATTTGCCTCCCTTTATTGAGGTCTGTGCCACACAAATCCGGGACCCTCAAATTCTGTTCGGTTCCCTGTTAAGCCAATTCCCCCCAAACGACAAGTTGTACCCAACTTTGGGCATCAAATTGAGGACACACAAGCCTCAGTTGGATCCAAAACTGCGTGCGAGGGACAAGGATGCCACCAATACGCCTGCGGTGTTGCCACCGGCCTCTACGACTCGTGTCTCGATATCGCGGGCCACCGCCAGCGCGCCTGAGATGTCTCCAATAAACAAAAGGAAGCTCGGCAATTTGGGCCTTTTGGTGTCCCAACCTCGACGCAAAAAATGCGGCATCTTCGTATCTATCTCTCTTTCTCCTGTTTATCTCTCTGTCGTTTATCTATCTGTCGAACTTGCGAAAGTGCTGCGCCTTCCGCGAATCTGTGCCTGACCCTGCGAAAGCGCTGAGCCTGTGACGCAAAGATAATGTTGCAAAAAACGCGTGTGTCCGTGCCAATGGGCCCGCGGCCGAACGTGCTGCCAGCATGCTCCGAGATGGTTCCGTCCAGGCGTCGCCATCAGGCTAACTTTCAAGTATCCCAAAGCACCGAAAGCCGGCGGGGGTTACACTTGTTTCGCATTTCTCCCCTGCCACACGTGCGCGTGCTTTTTTCCCGCACACCTAGTCTTCCCTTTTCATCTGTCTTGGAGAGCTAGATTCAGTTAGTCGCCGTAACACGAAAGTTCTTCCAAGCTTCCTTTGACCAAATTCAAATGTAACCTTCTACTTCTACGGGGTTATTTTAGAAGAAGAAACAACATACAAAACCATCTCGTAACTCGAGGTTTTGGGATTAATTCGCGGGATGTAGAGTCTTTCTTTTCCGCGGGGTTGGAGGTGGCTTGGAGGCAGGCTAGGAGTGCAGGTTGGGGAAGTAGGAGTTTCGAATTGGTTTCGTGGTGGCAGTTTACCCCTCTTTTTCAGGGATAAAATCGGAAGCTCGCTTTTCTTGCCTGGGAAAGAACAGAGTGAGTGATTGAAACTTCGCTCTTGGCGTCTGCCGTAATTAATTCGCCTCGGCCGCAAAGGGGCCAAGGGCGCTCAGATCTCTTCTCCAAAGAGAATCTTCGCTTTTCCCTCCCCAAACCCCCCTCCCCGACCAAAATTTTGCCGGCCCGCCCCCCCCCCCCCCCACCCATGTCGGCTGGCCCAAAATCCTGTCCGGCGGGCCTTGAAATTTTCGGGGTTCGTCGGCGTCCAGCTCCATGGGTCCATTTTTGTCGAAAATGTGCTGACAATTGCTAAAAAAATGCTTTTTTGTCCTGAAAAGCATGACCTCCTGGTGGCCAGGCTTGCCTGACGTGTCTGAGACTAGGCTCAGGCCCAGCCCAAAGCCCACCAGCCTCAGGCCCAAGCTTCAGGCCCACCCCAAGTCATCCAGCAAGCCCAGCCCAGCCAGGCCGGCCCCAAGGTCAGGTTTGTCTAACGTGTCTGAGACTGGCCTCAGGCCAATGGTGTCTGAAACTGGTCTCAAGCTATGCCAGCCACCAAGCCCGTCTGACGTGGCCCAGCCCTCAGTCCGGCTGCCCAAGCAACTCAGCCCAGGCTGGCCAGACCTTGACCTCCTGCTCGCGTCTGGCCCCAAATCAGCCAGCAGGCCCCGTCTCAAAGTTTGCCAGCCTGAGACTAGCCTCAGGCCCAGTCCCTCAGCCCGCCTGCTGGCGTGTCTGCGACTGGCCTCAGGCCCAGCCCAGCCAACTCGCCACCCAGCCTGGCCCAAGTGTGTATGAAACAGGCCTTGCCCATCCAGCAACCCGCCCAAGCACAGCTCAGCCCAGCCCGCCCAGCCCAAGTTCCAGGCACAACCAGCAGCCTGGTCCGGCTGCCCGGCAGCCAGCAACCCACCCATGGCTTCGCAGCCTTGTGGCTGAGACTAGCTTCAGGCCCAGCCCAAAAGCCTGCCCAGCCCAGGCCCAGCGCATCTCAGAGCATGCCAGCCACTACCAGCCCCCAACTCCCAGACCAGCAGGCTCAGCCCAGTGTGGTTTGTCTAACGTGTCTGAGACTGGCCTCAGGCCAACGACCAGTCTGAGACTGGTCTCAAGCTATGCCAGCTACTCAGCAGCCCAGGCTGACCAGGCCCCTTCAGCGCAGTCTGAGACTGGTCTCAAGGTATGCCAGCCTGAGACTAGCCTCAGGCCCAGTCCCTCAGCCCGCCTGCTGGCGTGTCTTACGTGTCTGCGACTGGCCTCAGGCCCAGCCTAGCCAGCAACTCGCTACCCAGCCTCAGCCCATCCAGCGACCCGCCCAAGCACAGCTCAGCCCAGCCAGCCGAAGTTCCAGGCGCAACCAACACCATAATCCAGCTGCCCAGCACCACCCATGGCTTCGCAGCCTCGTGGCTGAGACTACCTAAGCCAACCCCACCCAAGCCCACCCGGTTTGAGACTCGCAGGCTATCTAGCGCCGAGACTGGGCCTCACCAGCCTGGGCTCAACTAGCGTCTAGCCCAGCCCCAGTCCGCCTGCTGGCCAGGCCTGTCTGACGTGTCTGAAACTGGCCCAGCCATAGCCCAGCCCCCTCAGTGCGGCTGCCCAGCCCGCCGTAAACTAGCTTCAGCTCAACCAACAACCCACGCAAGCAAGGTCCAGCCAAGCTGCCCGAGACTAGCTTCAGGCCCAGCGCAGGCTTATCTGATGTGTCTGAGACTAGCCTGTGGCCCAGCCCAACCAGGCGAGGCCGGCTTGTCTGACTTGTCTGAAGCCAGCTTCAGGTATTCGGACCTTCCCAACACTGGATTTCGGTGTTCCTGACCCTTCCCTCAAACTAGGCTGGGCCGAGGCGGGCAACGCGAAGCGTTTACAATTATCACGCCCGCCAGCCGCTATCAGCTGCTATCTTGGCATATTTGCGCCGGGATATGGGGTAAAAAAACAAGTCCCCCCTGCTGGTTTCCCTGTAGGGAAAGTTGTCTTCGCAAATCTGGGTAAAGTGTGGTCCTTCACCGTCATAAAAAGCTGGACCCCCCAAAATGGACCTTCATCACAGGTGCTTTCGCAGCCCCCTTTGCGAGATCGCTCTTGGCAAGTCTACCCAAGCAAATGGTGCTGACCCAGGCTTGCTTGACACTTACAGCCCCCTCAGTTTAAAGCAACGCATGCAAGACTGTGCTCAGTCCAAGCACCATTCTCAACTCAAGGCCACGATCAGGTTGCTAAAGCTAGCTATGCGACAACAGCAATCTGAGTAAGAACCCGAACGCGTGAACCGTTCTCTGCCTGATTCTGGGCATCTCAAGTAGATTGATTCTGGGACAGGCCAGCCTTGCCTTCAGAAATGCGCCATCCACTTTTCTGCCAATGACATAACTCCAAAACCTCAATGAAGGGATCCAAGTGAAAGGACATGAAAGGATCCACATCGTGGGTCGCGCGTTTGGCCAACCCCAAGGACATCCTGGCGAAGTGGAGGCTTTGGACTGCACTTCAAGCGAACACATCCGTCTGACTTAACTTCCCAATGCTGTGTGCCCATCATGTCCCGAGTGCTCCAAATCGTTTAAAACCGCACATTGCACAAAGCTGGGCAAACTAGAATGTTTCACCAATTGAAAACACGGGATCCTCAAGTAAAGAACCTTTGTCATATGTGAGCTCGTACCCCAAAGTGAGCTCGGCATAACGCGCCAACACCTCGCCAAGGCACCCTTGGGCCGCTGCTTGCGGCGCTTGGACACCACCAAGCCCGCATCGTCCGCGCCGCAAAGGCTGAGGTAGGCCAAGAGAAGACGGGCCCATGGCATCGTCCGCGTTTCGTCGCGGCGCGGTGTGTGTTTCGAAGCACGTGAAACGTGCGAAGTGTGAGTGGCACATCTTTTCACGTTTGGGGGGGTGGGGAGATGAAACTAACAAATGAGACAAACATATACAGTGTGTATGTGTATATATATATATATATATATCAGTTGGGATGATGTCCCTCTCCTGAAGCGAATTGGAAGCCAGGGCTGAAGAGATGCCCTCGTTCGTGACGATGCACCATGGGCCCTATAAATAGATCGATTCGAGTGTGGGTGTGGCTGTTTTTCGAAGGTACTCTTTTCAGGCGGGATTTGAGGGAAACTCACAGGACACCGATCTTTTTGGGGGTCGCCATATCTCGACAGGTTGCTTGGCCCACTGCCGCTGGGCCGTAAGAAGCAGGGCGATGTGGTCCCTCAAAGTGGTTGCATGCTGAGGGACTGGTTTTCAAACTTACCTTTCTTGATTTTATACTGCCATTTAGGGAGTAAAAAAGAAGATGTCACTTTGATGGACCCAGTCTATGTACATGTAGATCTGTCAGATGGGCTGTGCTGTGCTTTTCAGGCAATCCATGCCGCAATCGCTTGAGAACATTGCAATCGCTGAATCAGCTGGAAGGGGAAAGCATGGGAATGATCGGGGCTCTCTGGATAACACTTTGTGCAAGAAACACAACTTCATAGCAAATGTATGGAAGACAGTCCTGGCACATTTCATGGGAAATCTGAATGCTTGTTGTCCAGATCCCTTTCTAAACGCTTGTGATTACACAGGGCACCGCTATACCGTTGTTTGGTGGATTCTTAAAGTCGAAAGGGAAGCAACACACTGGAGTTCTGGGCCGTGCACCTGCAGAAGGCGTTGTTTGCCACCACGGGGTCTAGATCTTACACCTGAACTGAGACATGAGATTAACATGGACCCAAACAAACGAGGGCAAGTCGAAGATAGCAAGAAACACGTGCTAAAGCAAGTCTAATAGACCCCTCGTGGATAGACTCAAACAAGCCATTCAAATTGGGAGCGAGACACGGGTGGACAAAAAGACCTGTCTAGGTTGTTCAATGGGGGAGTCCTCGAAGCAAGTGGCTTCCCTGCAAACCCCCGCAAACTGAAAGGGTGCCCTCAAAACCGACGCACCCGATGGTGCCATGAAGCGTCGAAGCGTCTACATCTGCACAGAGCACCAAAGCAATCCAGCACGCGTCAAACAGTAGAATAACTGAATGACACAAAGGACCGAGTGACCCCAAACTTTATGGAGCGAAGCGATTACAACCAGTATTGGAGCGAAACGGGTACAACCAGTATTCTCCCATGATCATGAGGAGAAATGGATTAGTAGTACCCGACAAGACCATTCTATTTATTTGGGAACACACATTTCTCTACCGTCACTTTTGGGGGTCTGAAAAGAAAAACAATTGTCCTTTTATGGAATCTACAAAAAGATGTGTTTGTCGTTCTTAGCACCTCCAGCGCCCTGAGATATCACACATGTCGACTAGTAGCAGCACCTCATGTCCCTCTCCTTGGAGGACAGAGCCTCTGAAGCGTCGGAGTAGACGTTGCCGAAGGGGTTTCCGAAGGGAATGAAGATGCACATGCCTTACTTTCGTGAAACAAATCTGAAATCTGGGCACTACATAGCGCGGGAGGTTGAACAATGAGAGCAAAACTACGGGCGATGTAGCAGCCAGGAAACTGCTGTAGTTCACCTACCCAAGTTCAGGAATCCCCAAAAGAGGAACCTTCCTGATGACAGGGGGTTGGTTGCGTGCTTTTTTGCTTGAGAACAACTTGCGAGCTGAGTTCAAGTCTGCTTTGCTGAGCAGCTGTTTGCTAAACCACTAAGCCAACAACCAACTCCACCTGGGCAAAGTATACTTACAATACTTAGAGCAGCAGTCGAGGGTCCCCGCCACGGTGCAAACATCCTCTCAGAAAAAGGCCTCGTCATTTTGTCCTCATTTTCCCGAACAAGGTAGAGCGAAAAGCGGTACAAGTCCTGATGCCAATTCCGCATAAGGGAAGCAAAAGGGCTCTTGGCTTTATGCCTGCGGGTTTAGGGAAGGGAAGCTTTTGACAATTTTCAGTGGCAAGTTGTCTTGGAAACCTGATCCATCCTCTCAGAAAAAGGCCTCGTCATTTTGTCCTCATTTTCCCGAACAAGGTAGAGCGAAAAGCGGTACAAGTCCTGATGCCAATTCCGCATAAGGGAAGCAAAAGGGCTCTTGGCTTTATGCCTGCGGGTTTAGGGAAGGGAAGCTTTTGACAATTTTCAGTGGCAAGTTGTCTTGGAAACCTGATCCGGTACTGTACTGCATATGCATCACGTGGTTAATTTAGCAACCTGTAAGGCTCGCACAGGGCTCGGTGTTCCCTTGGAACCCTCTGCAATCAAAATGGGTCCCTGCCCATGTGCAACGTGGGGTGCAAAATATATGCAATCCTGGTGGACAATGAAATGAGCCACAACATGTTTATTACCCTAATCTGAGGATGGTTGATGACTATTGAAACGATTCACGCCACTTTAGTATCATCCATCGGTACCCGCAACCTATCCCCTCCAACCCAGCGATTTTCACTCATCGAGTTGAGTCTTACGCGAACAAACTCTGGATCTTCACCAAGATCCATGGCAGCGTTTTGGCTCTAGGTTGATGACAATGGTTCTTTGTGTTCAGCAAACTTTGACGTTTCCTCTAATGGGACGGGGGGTACCCCTAAAAACGGTTCTCTCGTGGCTTTCCCTTAAACCACCGGCATATTTCACAGAAGTCCCACCCAATGACAAGTTTTTGGCTACAGCAACTTCCTGGAACTCTCCATCCGAGATGCCAAAGGGTAGCAGCACATTCACTACCTGAGTCAGAGGCAGCCGGGGCATTCACCCAGTGGCCTGGAACCCCCAAAGTGGAGGTGTGTTTGCTCCGCCCACTGCCAGCTATAGCTTGCCATGGCATCCTTCTGTGGAACTTGTGGCATGGGTGTGGGACCTGGCTGTGATACCAAAGTCAACCATCCTTATGACAACTTGTCACCTTAAACGCTGGGGGGTTGGGGGTCCTGTGGCATCCCAGACAGCTTGCCCAATTCCCTCTTTTCCAAAACATGCCCTGTGCACCAACCACATATCTCAATCATGATATTGACTAGCTTGAAGCTAATGCGGGTATATTATATACAATGTATGTATGCATATAGTTATTATGATAGTATGTCATATCATATTGCATACTATTATATTATCTTGTGACACGTCCTATCAACATATGGTGTATTAACTCAGATCACATCTAATCGTGTCCCATCCTATGAAATCAAACCATACCATGGTATAATATCATCTACTATCATGGTATATTATATACCATCACCGACACTTACATAATATTATGACAATGTATCATATTTTGCATTATATGACTTATACATTATCAATTATGTTGCATTATAACATGTTATATTGTATCTATGACACGACATGTGCAGTCATATTGGCTGCTCGTGTTCCAACCATCTTTGCGATACGCCTGGCCATTCCTGAACATGTGCCGATGGTACATGGATAACATCAGCTTACCAACACACAAAGAATGGAAAAACACCAAACACAAACAAACGAACAAGCACACAAGCACACAAGCACACAAGCACACAAGCACACAAGCAAGCAAGCAAGCAAGCAAGCAAGCAAGCAAGCAAGCAAGCAAGCAAGCAAGCAAGCAAGCAAGCAAGCAAGCAAGCAAGCAAGCAAGCAAGCAAGCAAGCAAGCAAGCAAGCAAGCAAGCAAGCAAGCAAGCAAGCAAGCAAGCAAGCAAGCAAGCAAGCAAGCAAGCAAGCAAGCAAGCAAGCAAGCAAGCAAGCAAGCAAGCAAGCAAGCAAGCAAGCAAGCAAGCAAGCAAGCAAGCAAGCAAGCAAGCAAGCAAGCAAGCAAGCAGCAAGCAAGCAAGCAAGCAAGCAAGCAAGCAAGCAAGCAGTCACGCAATCACGCAACGCAAAGCAAAGCAAAGCAAAGAAAACCAAAGACAAACAATTACACAACACAAAACAACAGCACACAACAAAACAATCCAACACAAAACAAAAAGCAATCAACCACACAACTAGTATGCCGAGCCATATTCTTCTAGCTTCTGTCACCTTGGTAGCATATTCAATGCCATCGGCAGCGTCTCTCAGTCTATGATGCAGTGAATGATCAATGACGAACGCATCAACCCGACACCGCCTAAATAACAGACTGCAGTTGTCTTGAGCAGCCTGAAAAAAGACAACCCAGGATTTGTCACTACTTGTGGAGTTGGCAACTAAAAAGGAAATTGAGGACCCCCTGCAGGTAAGGTAAACAAAAAAATGCAAATGCACATCCTGGATAAATTACCAACAATAGTGGCTCCAGGGACATGAGGAACCACAAAACAAATTTCGCAATGCTTGACTCTGGGCTTCCAGTCACCGTCATAGTAGGTAGCCACTTGTGTTTCCCTTGTATGGGCAGCTTCTCAGTTAGCTGGATCCGCCGACGTAAGTTTATGTTTCCAGCTGCCTACCGTCCCTGTAGAAAGATAATTCAAACCTTTTTTGATGTTGACCATGCCTTGTTGATCCCACCCACCCAACAAAAAAGGAGCTTGATGGTGCTACTGACTGAGCTTGGCGATTCTGGTGCCTTTCTCTGTCTCCCTACCCGGCCCGGCCATGGAAGAAAAAAGGAATTATAAGAAACACAAAAAGAACCAAGAAAAACAAGGCAAGCTAGTCTGGCAATTGGTGGTTTCCCCAGGTTCCGATGGCTTACTATGATTCAGGGCCGAAATAACTCGGACAGGGCTTTGCGGGCTCTTTAAAACCAAATCAAGTGTCAAGCAACATGTTAGTCATCATTAATTAACCTCCCCAAGCAAAGTCCGCCAACACAAGGGGCACCCTCTTGGGTTAGGGCTCCAGCCCCTCATAAGCACGCGGAATGCTGAGCGACTGGGTCCCAGGTATCCGTGGCCATGGTGAGCGCGAAGAAGGGCCGCAGAGGCAA